AGGCTTACCACCCGCTCCCATTTCATTATATCTCGTGGTAGGCGTACCACCCGCTCCCATTTCATATTGTTGCATCGTGCAACCCAATCCATATATAATATTGTTGCAGCGTGTAACCGGATCCATATATAATATTGTTGCGGCGTGCAACCCGATCCATATATAATATTGTTGCGGCGTGCAACCCGATCCATATATAATATTGTTGCGGCGTGCAACCCGATCCATATATAGTATTGTTGCGGCGTGCAACCCGATCCGAATATAATATTTACAATTATAACAAGAGTCCCGACAAGGGATAAAAGGTCTACACTATCCCGGCAATGGAAAAAGAAACAGCTATAACCAAACTTGTTACAAAACCTAACTACCTCAACTATACCCAAACTTGTTACAACACCTAACTACCTCAGCTATACCCAAACTTGTTCCAACATCTAACTACCTCAGCTATAACCATAATCCTTACCTAACACAAAGAATCATCAACCTAAGTATCCGTAATATCAATTAAGAACACAATACAAGGGAACCACAACTCAACAATAGCCCGGCAAGGGGGCAACATAATGATCTCTTCTCTTTCTCACTTTTACTTCACAATTTACTTCACAACTCGAGCCACTGCTCTAGAGGTTCAATTATCACTTATACTTTCACAATTAGTTATGCAGCTGGAGCCAACGCTCCTCAACGTTCATAGGTCACAATTCTTTTCACAACTTTGCACAACAATTAGAAGTTTTCACCAAGGCATGAATAATACAACGAAATCATAAAAATCACAATATAAGACCCACGGTCATGCTCGACACCAATATATAGATACTCGTCACCATGCCTATACATCGTACTCAACAAGAAAACAAATAGCAAATAGGACGCACTCCTAATCCCTCAAGCAAAGGTTAGACCAAACACTTACCTCGATGCCTCGAATAGAACTCAAGTCTCAATTATAGCTTTACCCGTTGTTTCCACCGCCAATTTGCTCGTATCCAATCACAAATTACTTAATTACATCAATAAGTGCTAAATGAATCAACCCCAATGCATGAAAATGAGTTTTCCATAGTTTTACCCAAAAAGTCAAAAATCGCCCCCGGGCCCACGTGGTCAAAACTCGAGGTTCGAACCAAAACCCGATTACCCATTCCCCCACGAACTCAAATATATAATTTTTTTTTGAAATCGAACCTCAAATTGAGGTCCAAATCCCCAATTTTTTTGAAAAACCTAGGTTCTATCCAAAACACCCAATTTCCCCCATGAAAATCTTTGATTTTAGGTTGAAATCATGTTAAAAGATGTTAATGATTGAAAGAAATGAGTAAAAACTAACTTACAATTGATTTGGAAGAAGACTTGTTCTTGGAAAAACTTCTAAGTGTGTTTGGGTTTGAGAAAATATGAAAAATAGGGTTCAAAATCGTTTAAGTATAAAATTGCAGGTCTCTGATATGGAAATGCGAACAGGGCTTCGCAATTGCGAACCCCGACCTCTGCAGATATGGGAATTGCGAAGCTTGTTTCGCATTTGCGAACGCTTCAAATTTTAGGGACCTTCGCATTTGCGACAACAGTATCGCATTTGCGATAGTCGCATTTGCGACACAGTGATTGCATTTGCGAGGTCTGACCAATATGGGAGGTTTCGCATTTGCGAACATAAATCTCGCATTTGCGAGGAAAAGGGCAGGCCTGGGCTGTTCGCATTTGCGAGGCAACCTTCGCAATTGCGGGCTCGCATTTGCGAGCCAGGCTTCGCAAGCCTGCAGGTTTGTTCATACCAGCAAATTTTAAGTTCAAAAATGCACCCCGTATCCAAAACTCACTCGAGCCCTCAGGGCTCCAAACCAAATATACACACAACCTCAAAAATATCCTACGGACTTATTCGTGCGATCAAATCGCCAAAATAACATCATAAACATCGAATTAAACCTCAAAATCCATGAATTCTTTCAAACTTCATAAAACATCAAATTTTCCAATTTAGGTCCGAATCACGTCAAACGACATCCGTTTTCCACCAAATTTCACAGAAAAGTCTTAAATCATATATATAAGACCTGTACCGGGCGCCGGAACCAAAATACGGGCCCGATACTAACATGTTCTAATCAAATTTCATTTCCAATTTCCTTAAACGATTTCAGAAAACAATTTGTACTAAAAAATTCATTTCTCGGGCTTGGGACCTCGGAATTCGATTCCGAGCATACGCCCAAGTCCCATATTTTCCTACTCCGGGACCGTCAAATCACGGGTCCGGATCCGTTTATCCAAAACGTTGACCAAGGTCAAATTAATTCATTTTATAGTCAAAACTTATCATTTTTCACACAGTTTCTCATTTAAGCTTTCTGGCTACGCGCCCGGACTGCGCACTCAAATCGAGGTGACTCTATATGAGGTTTTCAAGGCCTCAGAGTCATAGAATTTAATTTAAAACAAGTGATGACCGTTTGGGTCATCACAATAACTTGGCAAGATTCTTTACAAAACCTTATTTGGTGAAGACTTTTAATAGTCATGTAAAAGAATGCCTGAGAAAGTTGTAGATGCATGGTTATGAGTCTAAGTGGGAGATTGTTGGAGCATATACTATTAACCATGCATTTGGATATAGTATATTCTAATAATTGTCATGGTTAAAAGTCTAAGTGGGAGATTGCTGGGATATATACTATTAACAATGGGTTTGGTTTAGATATAGTATTTATTATGGAATAATTGTTTATTCAATTTTAGTAAATTTTTAAATAGATCATATACTAGTATGTGTCCTTTGCTTATATAGTAGATGATTTAGTGTATTGAGTTTAGCTTATACATGAAAGATTAAATCATCGGTTCTTATAAGTATAAAGTTTGAGTTCACAATCTAATGATGGAATTGGACAAACCATCATGGATGATTGTAGCACGAGATTAAATATAATTTTATCTTGATTATGGGAATGGTTTAATTCCAACTTCTTTTGCTAGTACATTTTGTATGTATTTAACGGACCAAGTAGAGATAAGTATTTTATACTGACTTAATAAAATAAACTCTCTAGCCATTAAATGTACTTATACTCTTAATCTTGATATAATTATTATTAGCTGTGTATATTATTGTTTTGATTTATTAAAAGGTGGAATTCTTTCGTGGGTCAATATGCCTGGTAAATTGGACAATAATAATGTACATTAAAGAAGTAATAGTTAGTTGATGAAATCCATGTCTCGGTTTAGAGATTGATCATACACCTTTATGAAAGCTTATAAATTTTCATATGTAAACCCGGCCGGTGGATTTTGTATCCGACACATGAAATAAGTTAAGCGAAAGACTAAAGAAAATAATCAATAAATTAAATCGTCAGTAATTTAATTTAATTGATTAGTATCTGAATCTTAACATGTGGAGTTAAATAAGATTTAATGGTTGAATTTCAAAACTGAATTAAAAACCTTTTTAAAGTTTCGAGCACGTTAACCTCCTTCTGGTTTATGATTTTTTTTTCTTTTTGGGTAAGATCACGAGCACTTTCATATATCTTTTTAGGTTTTGGAGTATGAGTTTCTCCACAAAATTCAACTTTACCTCCAGAAAATAAAAGATACCTTTTTAAATTCATTAGAAAATATTTTTTTATATAATTATGCTTTTCGGTAATAACAAATAAATTACAAGGACAAACAACACATAGTGTTGGATTTGACAAAAAAATGCCTAATGTTGAACTATACTTGTTGCAACACGTTTTTTCACATGGATAAGTATATTTTGCATTTTCAAGGAAAATATTAATATCAGCAATAAGGATTTTGGTCATGATAGATTAGTCGAAGGGACAAAAGAAATAGGCAGAATAGCCTAAATGGCACTTGTACTTCACCCACTTTGTCATGCCGGTCCCCAAACTTACATATTTGCCAATTGAACACTTATACTCATTCAAAACGTGAATAATAAACGCTTATCCAACGTGGCTTATGTGTCATATGTGGCTGCAGTGCGTGATTCACACGCTTGTAAGGGGCGTGAAGACAGTAAAAAAAGCCCTAACGTAATAATTTAGCCTATTTAACATCCATCTTCTTCTTTGTACCTTATTCTCCATTGTTGAACATTGTAGAAGCTAAATTTAGCAAATCTGATGCCTTCTTCTTTCTTTGTTATCTTTAACTGTCAAAAATAGAATTTTAATTTCATGTGAATCTTCTTTGCCCATCAATTTTTGCAATCTCCTTTTGTTTTGAAAGTGGATTTTTTTCTGCTTCTCCTGCAACAAATACGCAATTGCCGCCTCTTCTCCTTCAACAATGAGGATGCAACCTTTGTGTTATTGTGGAGTTGCTGCAGATCTTAAAATGTCACGAACACCCACCAATCCTGGAAGGAGGTTCTTGGGCTGCCGAAGATATGAGATTGGTGAAGGTTGTGGCTTTTTCAGATGGGTTGATACTGCGATTGAGGAAGAACACTACAAGACTCTTCTTGCGGCTCTTATTAAGAAGAGTGATCGATGCCATTGTCAAAGAAGTCAAGGAAGGTCGAAGTTGAGAGTTGCTGCTATTATAATTGTGGTTGTACTTTTTCTAATGTTAGCTATTATGTTATTTGTTTAGGATTGATAGTGCACTTTGTTATTTCCTGGGTTTAGGCTACATATTTTGTGTTGATGTAAAATTTTGTTCATGAAATATATTGACAAAGGCTCCATTATAGCAACAAGTACTAATATAATGGCATGTGTTATAGGCAGTTAATAAAACATCCAAAATAAGGGAGTTGGTTTACAAAATATTGTCAATGATAGGCAATCAACAAAAACATACATAATGAAGTAGCTTTACAAAATATTGTCTACCACAGTCAACAAAAACATAGTAAATATCAGTTGAGCACTTCAATTAATGTCTGTTGTGGCTTGGCTGCTTGGTGTGGATTGTGTAACTGGTGTGGCTTGAGTGGTTGTAGCAGACTTTGCCCTTCTGTAACTCTATTCTTGCAGCTGCCTTTGTGTAACTGCTGGTCGGCCCTTCCACTCTAGTCCAGGTGGTTTGAACCTAAGTTCAATGTTGGTAGGAGCAGAACTTATGAGTGTAGAAGGATTGTGTACCACTCTGTCAGTAGTTCCAGACTGCACAAAAATAAAAGGTTGTGAGTGAGGGATTATGTAGTAAACCATTGTGTAATTGAGTTGAAATATTTACCCTCTGTATAACAATGCCACTTGAATCAAATAGCACACCATATCCTGCTGTCTTTGTTCTCTTAGACCCTGCATTTGCACCACCTCTTCTAGGCTCATTGGTCTTCCTTTTTGGACCTCTTGCAACATTAGTTGATTGTTGTGTGCTTGGATCAAGGATTGCTGGTGTTGTTGATGCACTTGCAGGTATTGTTGATGCACTTCCAGCTGCTGCAGTTCCACTTTCAGCAGTTTCACCTCTACCTGAACTAGTTCCAGCCCTTCCCTCTTGGTTTTTCTGCATACACATAACAAAACTATCACTAGTAATTGAATTCTTTCAATATTAGTAACAAAACAAACATTTATACTTACTGCTGATGGGCATCCTTTCTTGTTATGTCCTAGAGTCTTGCACAAAGAACATCTCATTTGTCTCCCTATCCTTGTACCCTTCCCAAACTTCTTCTTTGGTTCATCAGCAGCCTTTGTCCTTTTTTTCTTTGGCCTTCCCGGCATTGCAGTTATAACAGGTGGCTCAATAGCTGGCAGTGTGCTTGTTGGCCACAAATTCATACTAGTTAAAGGTTGAATGAATCTGCTATATGCCTTAAGGTAGGTATCCTTTCTATACCAATGGTCAACATATGGCTCAACCTCATAGTTCTTGTAATGCATTGCTGTAATTGCATGTGCACATGGAATTCCTTTGAGTTGCCATGATCTACAAGTACAGGTATATGCCCTAAAGTCAACAACATGCTTATATGGCCCATCCTGGATCTCATACCTTGTTTCACCATTAAATTTGACTTCACATTTGGCTGCCCTTTGAGCATTCTCTCCAAGTATTTCCATAGCCATGGGTGATATCTCACCTACCCATTTTTCAGAAAACTCTCTCATGCTATTCATCCTCTCCATACACTTGATTCTAATTTCCTCTAACATAGTAATGATAGACTTGTGCCTAGCTGCCAATATCCAACTATTGAATGTCTCACACATGTTGTTCTCAACTACATCACACTTACTATGGTCTTTGAAATATGCCCTACACCATGTTTCCTTGTTGTATTTCAGTAAGTCCTGAACAATATTTTCCCCCAGCTGGTCCATTTCATCCAACTTCTTGCTAAAGTAAACCTCAAATGTAGCTCTTGCACACTGCCAGAATTTTTTCCTTCTTTCCTCACCAGGCCAAGTTTGCTTCCAATTAGCCCAGATATGTCTAGCACACCATCTCATTTCAGCATTTGGCAATAACTGAGTTATTGCTAGATGAAGACCCTACAGTCATAAAAATTATATTGTTATAACTTAAACATAAATGAAAACAATTACACTTTAAAGAAAGAGTATTAGAAACCATACCTTCTACATATCAGACATGACTGTCAGCGCTTCTCCTTCAGTTTCTGTCAAGTTTAGATCATGCTTGAGACACCTGATAAACCAAGACCATGTATCCTTTGATTCCTTTTCAACTACTGCCCAAGCCACAGGGAACATTTGATTATTTCCATCCTTGGAAATGCAGGAAAGCAGTTCACCTTTACATGTCCCCTTTAGGAATGCACCATCAAAGCCAATTATGTTTCTGCACCCTTCTAACCATCCAGTTTTTAATGCTTCAAGACAGACATACATGCCCATAAAGACTTCCTTGCCAGAAACTGAATCCTTAGATGTCCTTATCACTACAGTAGTGCCAGGATTAGTAGACTTCAGCATTTCTGCATAATCATGAAGCCTAGCAAATTCTTTCTTGTAATCACCCATATTCTCCTTCATAACAATCATTTTTGCTCTTCTACAGGAAGTTTTACTCACATACAAGCCATATGATTGCCTAAGTAAGGCTTGAATCTGATGAAGTTTAATTTGAGGCTCACTAACTATTCTGTCTTTGAATTTTTTTGCAATCCATGGTGGGTTACACATCTTGTTCCTTGTTTTCTTGTAGCATTTATGGACAGGGTAGTATGTAATCACCCTAAAGTTTCTGCTGCTGCCTTCAATGCTACCAAGGATATGCCATGGACATCCATTTTTTGTGCACTTTGCCCTAACCCTTTCCTTCTCATTAGGTTTCAACTTAAGGTTGACACCTTTTTGAATAGAATATGTCTGCAATGCCTCCCTAGACTGTACAGCATTCTCAAAGATCATATACAGTTCAAAAAATATTTTTTTGGAAGTTGTATCAAAATACACCTTCTTACTTGGATTCCTAGCTGGAGCATCCCTTACTTCATCAGGGCCAACAGGTTCTCTGTCATCATCACTACACTCACTACCTGGATCTGAGCTATCAAAATACTGGTCATCCCCTCCTAGTTTCCCTTCATATTTTCCCCTTTTGTTCTTATGCATATCTTCAAAACCATCATCTACACCAACTGGACCAGATGGTATCTAATCTACATTTACTTGGGCATCCTTCTTTTTGTTGAGTTTAGACTGTCTAATTTCAACTAAATCATCTTCCAAATCACTACACTCTTCAATGTTCTCATCTATATCAAACAGTGAGTCAGACCCTTCAGAATCATCAAGGTCCTCATCAGATTCAGATTCTGATGTTTGAAGGTGATAGGAAGAGAAGTTATTACTTTCACCTTCATCTGATTCTTCTATCTCTTTATTTATATCTGCCTCCTTACCCCTTACACTATCATGCCCCTCTGTTTGTATAGTGGGGTCTAGTTCAGTTATGTCCTCAATAAGAATAGGCTCACTAATTTTATGGACAATACAAACATCAACAAAGTCACCACCTTTCAATGTATTAAGAAAATTTAACACATCAGCATCTGTTTTTAAAATGAAATAGGCACCACTTTTGTTAACTTTACATCCAAACAAATCCACTTCTAAAAATCCTAAGTCCCTAGCAACTTGTGAAACAACATAATATGTAGCTCATCCACATCAACTGTAGCTAAGTGAGGACAGGTTAGTCCATTTGCATACCTTAGGTCAGGGTCGGATACAAAATTACCACTGTGGTGGATTTGTAGGTTAACTAGGGTTGAAGCCATTTTCTTTTCATACCTGCAAAGAAACAAAAAAAAAACAGTGTTATCAATGACTATTTGTTATCAAAAGTTGCACCTTTACACAACTCCATAAACAAACCAACAAAAAAGACAGATTTTTAAAGTAAAAAAGCATCCAAGATTCCTTTTTCGTCCCCACAATGCCTTATAATATTCAGAAAATACTGTGGTGGACCGCTAACATGAACGAGACCCAACAAAAACCCAAGACACTAGGATGAAATTCTGATTTGAAAACAAAAACCCAAAACACTAAAGAGAATAACCAAATATGCCATTACATGCATGACACTACATTAAAAAGGCCTTTCACTCTAACATGTAGCAAAACACAACAAAAGCCCTATATATTAAGGGATATTAAACAACAATTACGACCTAACCCAACCTCCCCCTAAAAAACCCTAAACAGAGCAAAATCCCCATAAATAGAAGGAAATGAAGAACAATAAAGACAAAATATGAAGAATAAATGAAGAAACTTACCCCACAAACTTTTATAACAACTGTACAGATGAAAATCCCGGCAAGAACGACGGAGAAGAGAGGAGCGACTCACTGTTGTTCGATACTATCTAAGCCCTAATTTAGCGGGGTAATTGTAAAATGAGGGGAAATGTGGGTTTGGGGGGGGGGTAAATATTTTTATCCTATTTGGCCATCAGATGTGACTTGGAGCCTACGTGGATATATTTTATTGACGTGGCGTCCTACGTGTAGGCGATTGTCAAACACGCACTGGCAGCCTCATTGGATAAGCGTTTATTATTCACGTTTTGAATGAGTATAAGTGTTTAATTGGCAAATATATAAGTTTGGGGACCGGCATGACAAAGTGGGTGAAGTACAGGTGCATCAAAAGCATCGTCTGCAAAAATGTAGTAAGTCAGAGACAACAAAATAACATATAATTATTTCAAATTATAAAATATCTGTAATTACGTATACTATATAACTAACTCACCTAAAATCTTTATTTTTGCAGGTTCAGAGGACACGCAATTACTTTTATTTAACTATTAGGTCAATATAATAATAATATTTACTTTTTCGTTTAAATGAGTGCTGCATCTATTTCGACGCCAATTATTATTACACATTATTATTTCTTATTTTGTACACTTTTTATTGAAAAACACAAAAAAATACATGTAACGCACGTATATTAAAAATACGAAGTCTCTTAGCGAAATATCGTTCGCCTTTTTTTATCCTTTAAATAGGTTTCACAAGAAACAAAATCGTAATTATATAAAAATAATTAGGACTTTAAAAACAACTAAAATTTTCTTTCCTTATTTGAGTTATATTGGAATAAGAATATAAAATTTAAAAAAATTACTTATATAATTTCATTTATTTAAATTGTTAACAATAATTCAGTTATACTAAATTATATTTACTTTCTCTTTATAATAAATTTTAACACGTCGTGTGTAACGACCCGACCGGTCGTTTTGAGTTCTAGCGCTTCATTCAGCAGTTTGGGGCCATGAGCAGCTTCATTTCAGGTATTATGACTTGTACGCATGGTCGGAATTGAATCCGGGAAGTTCGGAGTTGATTTGGAAAGAGAATTATCATTTCGGAAGCTTTAAGTTGAAAGAATCAACTAAGATTGGCTTTTTGAGTAAACAACCTCGGAATCGGGATCCGAAGGTTCCAGCAAGTTCGTATGACGATTTCGGACTTGGGCGTATGTCCGGATCGGGTAGTGGAAGACCCGGGAACGTTTCGGCACCTATTGTGGAAGTTAGCATTTTGGAGGAATTTCATAAGTTTGGGTTGAAGTGCATTTCAGTGTTATCAATGTCCGTTGGGATTTCGAACCTGGGAATAGCTCCGTATGGTGATTCTGGTATTGGGAGCGCGATCGGAAGTAAATTTGGAGGTCTGTAGGTCGTTTTGGAGTCATTTGGCTAAAGATAGAAATTTGAAGGTTTTTGAGAGGTTTGACCGGAAGTGGACTTTTTGATATCGGGGTCGGATTTTGATTTCGGAAGTTGGAGTAGGTCCGTAATGTCGAATATGACTTGTGTGCAAAATTTGAGGTCAATCGGACGTGATTTGATAGGTTTCGGCATCGAATGTAGAAGTTTGAAGTACTAAAGTTCATAAAGTTCGAATTGAAGTGTGATTCGTGATTCCGGCGTTGTTTGATGTGATTTGAGGCCTCGAGCATGTCCGCATTATGTTTTAGGACTGGTTGGCATGATTGGTTGGGGTCCCGGGGGCCTCGGGTGGATTCCGAATGGTTAACGGATCAATTTTGGAGTTTGAAGAAGAATTGAGATAGCTGATATCTGGTGTAACCGCACCTGCAAGGTTATGGCCGCAGGTGCGGAGCCACAGAAGCGGTCAAGGAGTCGCATATGCGATTTGGGCGAAGGGGTGCAGTGACCGCAGGTGCGACACTTTAACCGCAGATGCGGGAGCGCACTTGCGTTGAGGAGACCGCAGAAGCGATTTTTGGCCCTGAGCCTGGGACCGCAGAAGCGGCACGTGCGCCGCAAAAGCGAGGGCCGCAGGTGCGGCTTATGCACCGCAGGTGCGGAAAGGCTGGAGGCAGTGTGCTCTTTTAAAATCGGGAGATGGTCATTTTTCTCCCATTTTCATTTGGTGTGGACGATTTTGGAGAGCTTCAAGTGGGGGTTTTTCATCATCAACAACAAGGTAAGCTAACCCCACCTATCTTGAGTTAAATATATTGATTATGTATGGATTTTAGCATGTATGTCAGGACCAAAATTCACTAAAGGTCGTGATGGCGCCGGACGCCACTGTCAGGCAAGACAACCCAAAATAATTAATTAAATTCTCATTTTAATACTCTTGAAAATTATGACTTTTCTTCAAATTTACCAATTTAAGAAGATAATTGCTTCAAGTCAAATCAAATAATAAGCAAGTAATACAAAATACTCCATAACCATCCCAGAACCCGGTGTCACAAGTGCATGACCAATTTCTAAGAAATATCGAATAAAGTACAAAGGCTGTCCGGAATACAATTGGACAAAAAATAAATAGAATCCTGAGAGAGACTATACTAGCTGCGGGTCGCCTCGAGGAAATACAGCTCACCTAGTCTCTGTGTCAACCATGCTGCTACGCCTGCTAAGCCATTAGTGGCGCGTGTGCCTGTGCAACAAAAATGCACAGAAGTGTAGTATGAGTACAAAAACAACGTGTACTCAGTAAGTATCCCGCCTAATCTCGAAGAAGTAGAGACGAGATGGCAACTTCGACACTTACTAAAGGTCCAGTAATATTATTATTAGTGCGATGACTCACGGGTTTATTAAGAACAACAGTAGATTCAAGTAAATTACTAAACAGGTAAAAGTTCCTCTTTATTAAAAGTCTCCGGACTCATAATCCATTAATTAATAAATTTTCTCAAGTCGGGAGAGCAGATATTAGTATCAACAAATATCAAAGCAAGCAATACAAGCATGCGCAACTCATGCCGAGGTCGTACGGCCCGATCCAACAATATTTAAAATGTGCACTGCCGAGGGTCGAACGGCACGAACCATAGATGCATCTATTACCCCGCTCGTGGATCACACATGCGACGCGGTCAAATTTAACTAAACAATCACCCTGCTCGCGAATCATACATGCGACGCAGGTACACCTAGAAATACATGCTCAAATAGTAAATTAAGAATTTATCGGGGAACATTTACCCAAATAAAAGCCAATTCTCTTTTATGATTTAAGAAAATGAAGTTTAATCCTCTTAGAAATTCATTTATCAATTCGATAATTTAAGAAATTCAACTGTCAATAAGACCACAGATTGTTGTCACGTATAGCATGCTTTTGGGTCCTAGACTACCCGAACTTACACATATTAGTAGCTACGCACGGACTCTCGTCACCTCGTGCGTACGTAGCCCCCACAAATAGGAGCACATAATAAATTATTTCACCTATGGGGACAATTCCCTCTTACAAGGTTAGAAAGGAGACTCACCTCGCTCCGAAGATCCATAACCGGCATTCCACGCCCTTCCGAAGACTCGAATCGATGCTAAATGCTCCAAAGCTAGCCAATAATTACGCAAATCCATTAATATATGCTCAATTACTCATTACAATCCAATTTATAACAATTCCTAACCCTGATCGAAAAGTTGAAAAAAACGCCCTCGGGCCCACGTGCCCGGATTTTCAAAATTTTCGAAGAATAAGTTTATCCATAGCCTAACGAACTCAAATATATAGTTTTCTCTTAATTCCATACCCAAAATCGTGGTCAAATTCCAAGAATATCAATTTTCTAGGTTTTCCCTCAAACCCCAAGTT